GGAGGAGAAATTGGAGTGGAAAGAGACAGCAGTCTCAATTGATTATCTTATCAGTTAAAATATCTTATATTTGCAAATTTTATGGAAACATATGATTATGAGAATACACTGCTTGGGCCCCTTCTAAGGCCTTGGAGTGGGCTGTGCAGATGAGGGGCCTTGAAGCTTAAGGTTCATTAGCTTCCAGGTAAATCCGTCTTGTATTTAAATATTATTAAAGACCCCCCAGAGAGTTAGCGCATTTAGAACACGGGCTCTGGAATAATCATAGACCAAGAAAGGAGAGCTCAGTCCTTGACCTTCGTATAAATTCACACACATGGTCTTGGAGAGATTCAGAACCACATCAAACCCTACCCCCTGACAGTCTCATTTCATAGGGCTTCCTGAGAGGAGGGGTAAGAGAGCAATAACTGTTCCCCAAATTCCATCTCTCTCTCCAGGTCTCCAGCCACATACACTGGCCCCAGCTCTCTCCTTTCTCACCCTCAAAGTTCTCAGAGGACAAAAAGCGGTGAGGGTATTCTGAAATACATTATCTTTACAGAAGGCTGGAATGAATAAAGTCTTGCATCCCTCCACTCCCCATTGCCTCCCAAAACCCACTGGAATAGTCTTTAATCCTTTCTCTCAAATGCCTGACAGAAGGCCATTGTACATGCTGGGTTTACTTCTCAGCTATCCCAACAGGCTAAAAACGCTGAACAGTCTCCAGGATTCAGGGTGTGGCTATGAAGCGTTGACTCTGGGTGCCATGGTCTTAATTCTATGTACAACCATATGCAGGCTGTGTGCTAAGTTAACTGTGTTTATTATACCACAGAAGGAAAACGTCAGCATTCTTGGGCATCAAAACTTAGAAGAACAAATGGCTATTTTATGTCCGTGTTTACTTTACAGAACACCATCTGCTGAGCTGTTATGGCAACATATGGAGTGGTGCAATCCACAGACCTTAAGCCCTGCACTGGATTTGAAGTGTGGGCTTCTCATCTGAACCACAAAATAAGATGTCTAAGGTACTTTTCTATCTGTGGTTTTTTTTTTTTTTCAGTTTAGTCAAACACTAGAGGAAGTATTGGACCTAATTGTTTTATCTTCTATAAATATGTATGTATTTATTAATATTTTTACCCATCAATCCTATTGGAATAATCAATGGTCTGAAGAAATAATGCTCCTACTTTTAATATATTGAGATCCCCTTTCATATGGGAATCTCAAATTGCTTCATCAACTACTATTCATTACTTGGCTTTTTCAAGCTTAAATCAAACTAACATTTATGTCAGACACTGTAACCCAATGCTTTCACATTACTGCCAGATACTTAGAGCTAATAATTCCCAAGCACATAATAAAGTTATAGTTGCAATGAGTCTATTCCAACCACCCTGGTGTGGGAGAGCCTTACTCATGTATGTATTTATTTATGTTTCATATTATTAATCACTAGGTTACATTTACAGATTTATATAAATTTTCTATACAACATGGGATTTTGTTGCCTGTGTTTATGTCTCCATCTGAAATTTAAGGACAAATACCAAAACAATATTCTTTTGGGGGGCATGCAAGTGATTAAACTAAGAACTGTTTACAGTATTTGGCAAAAGTTGGCGGAGAAGAGATAAATTTGTTGTTTGTTCTCCAATATCTGTGTTACCATCTATATGCACACAAAGCCACTCCTATTATTGCTTATATTTTTCTTTTAGCAAATTCAAATCACAAGAGAAGAGACATAAAAATCCAGGCTTATCTATCACACAAGTGTAATAACTGCTGCACTGTATATGCTGTGAACATAACAGTTGGATCTAAATGTTTTCTGATACTGCGCATTTGTTTTCTTAAGTTACGGTGCACAAAATGCTGACGAGTAAAATATGACCTTTTATTTGTTGACTCAACAAGAAAAACTAGCATTAGAGGAAAGTTCATCTACCAACTCAGAGCCCTGTCAAACCCTGAAAGGTTTGAAAGAGTGGTGGCTAAACTGATGCTAAGCAATATGTGAGATCCTTTTTCTTAGGCAAAACAATATCGCAAACATTTATTGGACATGGAAAATGCTTAGAAAATATTTGATGCTTTAAGTGCAAATATTGAAAATTTGAGCCCTTTCAATCACCTGGGAGGGGACATGTTGTCTGTATGGGGCTGGGAGCTGTGGCTCTACGGACAACAGCTGTGGGGTGGGGCGAGCCCTGTCACACCTCTGGGTCCAGAAAGGGCTGATTTAAAGAGTAGTTAGAATCAAAAAGACAATGTTCATATTTTCATTTGAAAAATGTTGAAAATTCATTTTATATCTCAAGATGGTGCTCAAATGTGACCATTCCTACACTCCTCAGATATTCTGTACTCACGGAGCATTTTCCCTCAATGCTTTCCTACATCAGTCAGAAGACGGATGAATCACCTATGACACCAGAATAAGAGGCAACAGCTCAAGGCACAGAGACTCTCAACCCATTCTTAACAGAACGTGAAGCCTCAGAAGCACTTGATGTCACAAACATCAATCATTATTAAGTAATATTTATTGTGTTCCTGGAGTTGTTCTAGATGCTGCAAATTTCCTCCAAGCTCCTGGGGTCACTGAGAATTTCTGTGTTAGAGTTAGAAAGAGGTGAGTACTTCTTCATGTAGGTATCTTGTGTTCACAGACTGTACCGAAAAGCAATTGTTTTGAGACGTGGAGGCAAATCTCCCTGTATGTGCTTTGCTGCCCAGCACAAAAGGTAATTTTTTTGTTTTTCAAGTCTATGCATACTTCTTTCATTTCTGCTGCCTTTTTTTGACAGGCTGTCTCACAACTCAGAAAAGACTCCTGACCTCCCCTGGAAGAGACATTATGCTGAGAAATAATAAAGGTCAAGTTGGGAGCACAGTGCTCTGTGTGTGATGGTTCCCAATACTAAGTGACGCTTATACTTACATCACGACAGCCAGCTGGGATGTTAACTCAGAACCTTGGTCATGTGCTTCTCATATGGCGTCTGCATTCAACACAACTCTGCGGTCTTTCTTAACAGAGTGATCACCATGATGGGTCTTCCTGCAGCCCCTACCCTTGGCAGTTCAGCCAGGGGGACACACTGGACGTTTGTAGGCTCTGGCCTACACTGCCTGCACCTGCTCTGGGCTCTGCTCTTGCTGACATTCTGCAGGGCCACATTCTCACACAGAAGCGAAAACTATCAAAATCCAAATCTTAAAGAATCAGAGGAGAACAAGGTTTACAGTAGTCATTCCTTTCTTTTTCTAGTTCTGTCTTCTCTTATTTCTCCCCACCCTTAGCTTTCTAACTTCAAGATGATGCTATTTCTACTACAATATGCCACTCTTTTTGCAGTCTTTATTATGTTTGCTTCTTCCAAATGAAAAATGGAGGCGGAAGAATTAAATTTGTTTGTCAAAAGCATAGAAAGAGTCGTGAGTGTAACTGAAAATGTGTAGAGTTCAGCAGAGGCACTGTGTCCAGAACACACTCACGTTCCTACCTCTTGGTCCAGGAAAATCCAACCTGTATCCCACCTCTTCTTTAGAGCCTCTCCTAATTGCCCCCTGCCCTTGGCAATTCCTCCCTCCCCCAGCTTCCGTGCAAGGTGCTGACAGATCCTTGAGGACGGGACCTTCGTCTAGAAAATTATGCCTCTGCCATCCTGGATCATCAAATCCAGCTACCTTTGTTTGGGTTAGTGCTGACATTACCGGAAGGCTGGGATCCTCTGAATCATCAGCGCCCCGGGATTTGGTAAGGCCACCCTGAAGGCTGCCTCAGGTTGCCCTAACAACCACCTATCTCAGTCCCACTGTTCCTGGCAGAAGATGTCTCAATACAAACAGGTAATGTTTTAAGACCATGGATAAAGTGTGGTACATGCTCATTATAAACAAAGGAGTGGAAACTGAAAGGGATCTTATTGTTCGCCTTTGGGAACTGAGTCAACATTCTGGGATCCTAGGATCTCTGTAAAAACAAAACAAAACAAAACAAGATTTGTTTTATTGGATATGGAGAAGGTTTATCCAGTAATATAATTAATAATGTAAATATGATGATTTTTCAAAATAAACTGCACTCTTCTTCAAATTTTGGATTGAATACAGGAATATACAGAATAATTTTGAAGGTCTTGAATGTTGAGAGGGGTAAGTGAGAACCTGCACTGAAATTCACCTGGTCTGCAGGTGTGGCCATCCTAGTGCGAAGGAAAGAGCTCTGAGCCTTGGCTTTTGTCCCCTGCTCTCTTCTGCACTTTCTATACCGGCTCTGGGACATGTGGCAGGCCACTCTCTGCAGTTCTGTTTTCTCATCTCTAAAATGAATGCATTATATTTCATGACATCTAATATTATTTTCAACTGTAAAATTCTGTTTCTAAGCTATTCTTATTCCAAGAGAGAAATGATTTCATTTTCATTTCTCCAGTCTTTAATTTTAGCTGAACTCATGCCTAGAAACGGTTTCATAAAAAGATAAAGTACTTTATCTCTTTCTCTCTCTCATCTGTTTGCCATACACATAAAAAGCGCTTGTCATCAACGCTTCCTGGGTTTGGGAAAGCGATTTTTACTATACCTTTTTACTTTCTGGATTTTTAAGAATAGGCCATATGAAGTGAAGTTAAAATAAGCCCATCAAAGATAGATTGACTTAAACTGCTTTTTGCCCATTGTCCTTTTTGTAGACAGGTTTTAATACATAACCTTGGAAAGTCATTTAAAGAGATGAAACACTCTCTCTCACTGTTCCAGTTTCATTGTGTAGATGGTGACAAGGTTTTATAAAAAGGGCTGTTCAATGAACTGTGTGTACATGAGTGGCTTTGAATTCGTTTTTACAGTTTCAGTTCTCTTTTAACATATATTGTAAGCAGCAGAGACACAAGAATTCTCATCTAAGTTATGAGCCAAAACAAACGATCAGGTTACACCTGTTTGGCTTACACTACCTTGGAAACCACTAGGCTCCATTTTCCTGTGCTTAAAGCACTAGTTCCCTTCCAGGGAAATAATATAATCAACTATTTTTTAATCGAAAGAGCAACCGACTGGATTTCTTCTTAATCTCCAGATCTGTGTCAAGAGGTAAGTTTAGCTTATTTCTCTTTCAATAAGATTTGTTTATTCAATGGGAAAATTACATTTTTTATGATTGGGTAGTCATTACCTTTCTCTAAAAAGTTTCCGTGGGAGAAGTAATCCTTACAAGGATTATAAGCTTAGATGTACTGCTATTTGGTTTTGTGCTGCATCAGAGATGCCCTTTCTGGATAAGCCTCCTCCAAGGAAATTTGCCCATTTGGAATGTGTGATTGACTTGAGGGCTTCTGGAGGCGGTGGCCAAGACAGAACGCCTGGTCTGAGCACAGAGGTGGGCTGATGAGAATGAGTGGGACAATGAGGGCACAGAGGAACAGCCCAGGACCTTTCAGTGGCCCTTTCTGTGTGGCTGGAGGACAACCTTTGCACTGTTCCTATGAGGGGATCCTCTAAAACTGAGAAAGCCTTTATTCATGCAGGAAATTGAGATGCCAGGCAAGTGGTGTCTATGTACATGTGTCGCCTGTGGGGGTGCTGTTCTAATCAGCATTGCCCACGGATCCTCAGTGTTGACAATTTATTTTTTTAATATACTGTTATTTATATCTATAAAACAGAAAATTAGATGTAAAATAATTCTACATCTACAAGGTAATCCTTAGACTTTAGCTCTTATGCAACTATGCTTACCAAAAAAAAGTCAAACATCACAAAACCAATAAAATTAAAATTAACTAAAGCTTAGTGGACAGAAGATGTTGTTCTGCTGAAATAAAATCACTACTCATTAAAAGAATAAGATACTGACTGCAGAAGCCCAGATTCTTTGAAGTTGGACCTGCCTGTCCCACTGTGGGCCAGATGAGGGCTTGCTCTTCCGTTGAGACTTCTAGCAGGCTTCATTCATGCTGCACTCTTAACATGCCTTCACTTGGCTTTCTCTTGAGCATAACCCATCGTGTGCTGTTTCTCATAGGCCTAGATAACTAAAGTTCTGCGAGTTGGTTCCAATGTGATTTCAAATACAATGTAAATAGAGGTCAGCAAACGTGTTCTTCAAAGGGCCAGAGAGTAAATATTTTAGGCTTTGAGGGCCATACTATCTCTGTTGCAACTACCCAACTCTGCTGTTTTAGCAGGAAAGAAGCCATAGACAATCACAAACAAATGGGCATGGCTGTGTCCCCCAAAACTTTATTTACAAAACAGGTGGTGGACTGGATTTTGCCTGAAGGCTGTATAGTTTGCCAAACCTTGCTAAACAGAGCTGAAATCCTGTGTCAGCCTTTGGTTATGAGCTAGTCATCCTAAAAACACACAAACATAAACTTTTCATAGACCCTTGAGAACATAACAACAGACTCTCAGGGGCCACGGATCCTGGCTTGAGAAACACTCAGCTTTGGGGATTTTCCTAATAGGAAATAAGATAGGCCATCTTTAGAAATGAAAATGCCCTGTATTCAAACAAGGGGTTGAAGAGACTGCTAGTGTCACAGACACAGTGCGCTTCAGAGGTGGAAAAAGGCCCACGAGAGGAAATTCTTTTCTTCAGGGGTTAAATGATTTGTGTGCAAGGTAGGGCAGAGTAATTAATGAACCAGAAAACCCAGCACTCCGGGGGGAGCTGGGGACCAGTCATGCAGGACCTGAGTTATGCTGCTGGGTTTTCTACTGGTTATTGGGAGTCTTGGACCAGCGCCTTCCCTCTCTGAGTTTCTGGTTCTTCATCACTACATTGGGGGTCATACCATACACCTGGCCTGCTACAGAGGATGGAGGTGAGGATTAGAGGAGATGATGTGAAACGCATTGGAAATGGTCAAGCACTATCCAAGGAGATGTATTATTACTAAGTAGTGAAAGGAGCTGGGTATGGAGACTGACGGCTTTTTCAAGCCTTGTCACTGGTGGTCTGCAAGCAATTGGAAATCCAGTGCTCCTCAAACACAAGTTTCAAAACAGCACTCTTTGGTAATTACAGAGCAGGCCTCTGGCTCCTGGCAGTGCTGGGGCTTCTTGCACAGTGTTTGTGCCCATTCAGAGCACGGAGCAGCACTTGCCGATGCTGAACCCCACAAGAAGTGGAGCCTCCTGTGTGAGGAGAAGTTGCTGGCATGGTAAAGGCTCATCCTGGAATAAGAGAAGGAAGGGTGGGTGGGGGTTCAGTCCCGAAGGTTCAGAAGCTCAGGTGTATAGCTCAGCCCGAGTTGAGTTGGCTCTAAAGGACTCATCCACATTAACCTAGCCCAGAGGAGCCTGATTCATAAAGCGCCTCTCCTGGGGCTGGAACTCTTGTATCGAATCTCAGGAGAACTTCCTTGCACAGCTAAAGGAATCTCGGCAAGAAAATTATTACTCAGAAGGTTGCCTGGTAAATTGGAGCAATGAGAATCGAATGATTGTAACAGACATTTAATCTAGGATGTAGAGAAGCCAGATGCATTAACTATCTTGCCCCCACTCCATGGTTAGTGTGACTCATTTTCTGAACCTAAAGACTTGCACACGTTCTCACTAGCTCTGACACAGCTTAGCATCTTTGCAGTAGGGGCTGTCCCAGAAAATCCAAGCTCCTTGGTTGCAGAAGGAGTGATGGAATGTTTTATATCTGCACATTACAGTGTTTTCCCTATGTCTAGAACTACGGAGGCCCTGAGAAGGTCTGTGTAGTTTCTGGTCACTTATCTTTCATGAGGAGCTCTACTCTTTTGTTGACCTTGCTGCCATGTCGTTATGCCAGTAACAGGACCACACGGTTGATTAGCTTCTACCTGTTTCTTCACTTGCTATCCACTTTGCTCAGGTACCCTCTGGTTGCTGTGATTGGAAAATAAGTTTCCAGTTCTCACCTTGATGTTCAAGGTCTTGCATAGTCTTACACCCTTATATCCACCAACATTCTAGTAATTTCTGGGTTATCCCAGGAATACAGGACAGATGATCTCTTTGGGATAGGTTTCTTCTACAAATGGCTAATCCTTCCCCTTGTTAGTTTTTACTCATTTCATACTCAATTGAGGCATTTGTCTCCAAATTCTGAGTTACTTAATTTAGCCTGACTGTACTCTCACTCCAGGATGTCATATTTTTATGGAGGCCTGTGATCGTATTCTTAATTTCTCTTGATCAGTTAGTAGAACCTTAGAATAGCCAGCTGGTGGAGGATTATTGGCTGAGTTTTGGGGGTCCTTCAAATTTTACTGGTTTGATGATAATGATGATATTTAAATTGGTATTTATTATGCACCAGGTGCTACCCTAAGAGCTTCAAATGAACTTCCTCATTTATATCTATTTACTCATGGCTTTACCAAGGTAAGTTCCTTCTAAGAGAGTAGAGTTTGACATGTACAGATCTATTTCTTCTAGGTATTCATTTGGCTGTGACTCCTGGATATGCAGGACACGGGGAATAGTTATTTTAAATCTTACATTTAGGGCCAGCCCAGTGGCGTAGCAGTTAAGTTCACGCGTTCCACTTTGGCGGCACAGGGTTGACTGGTTCAGATCTTGGGTGTGGACCTACTCACTGCTCATCAAGCCATGCTGAGGAGGCGTCCCACATAGAAGAGCTACAACTCTACAACTATGACACACAACTATGTACTGGGGCTTTGGGGAGAAAAAAGAAAAAGAGAAAGATTGGCAACAGACATTAGCACAGGGCCAATCTTCCTCAAAAAAAAAAAATCTTACATTTACACAATTCTCTGAAGTCCCCATTTTGAGGATTAGATAGGTATCTGCTGTGAAGAGGAGGATTAAAACAATTAGCCAGTCATTACTACTAGAGGATCCTAACTCCTCATCCCCATCATGCACGTGCACACATGCACCCACACACTGTCTGTCTCCATTTCCCAGAGACATTCCATCTGGTATTTTTAATAAAATTATGAAATATTTGAATCAACATTGATGCCAGTAATGAAAACTACCCTTGCTATAAGTTCAATATTTGAATTATTTGAGTAAATATAGAAAACATGGTCTTCAACTCCAAACAACATATAAGGTTCTTTGGGGAGAAACAATCTATAGGAGACTAGCTAAGGTGTTGTATCATCAAGTGCTAAAATATGTGCTAAGTCTTAGGGGTTACAGAATCTGAAGAGAGAAAAGTCAGAACTTGGAAGGCTATGAGGAGGAAGTAGGGCAGAGAGAAGGGTGGAGCGGCGTGAGCAAATGGGTGCAGATCGAAGGATGTGTGGGTTAAATGGGGAGACACAGGTAGGCAGGGTGGGGAGGATGAACCATCTGACCAAGGTGAGTGTTGGTGAATGTTGGTAGTAGACACAAGAGTGCAAGATTATGCAGGATCTTAAATGTGAAGGTAAGAATTGGGAACTTATTCCAAAAGTGTTCTGGAAGCAATAGTGCATTCCCGAGCAGACGAATAACATGATGAAAACAGCATTTTAATCGAGCGGCTGAATGTAGAATGGATTGCAGGAGGGATTCTGGGGACATCTCCCACTTGCTTTTCTTGCAGACATGAGGCAGGATTTTCTGGATTTCAGGTCCAGCCAGGAGTTAGAGCAAGTGGGGACCTCAGAAGAGGGATGCTGAGTTTAATGGAGAGTGGAGTGACACTTAATTCAGGTGGAGATAGAGAGACTAGGTATTAAGGGGAAGAATGGTTGAGATTTCCAAGAGTTTCTGGGGGAAGTTTCTAAGATCTAGAGAGGCAGTGGTCCATTTGTTACTGAATTTTGCACTCTTATTCAGGCACTGAGTGTGCAACAGTGGACAATCAACATACTTGCTCAGGTTGGCAGATAAAATATAGATCGCCCAGTTAAATTTGAATTTCAGATAAACATTGAATACTTTTTTAGTATAAGTAATCCCAAATATTCAATGGCACACTTGTACTCGAAAATTATTCATTCTTTATCTGAAATTCAAATTTAACTGGGTGTTCTACATTTTTATTTGCTCACTCTGGCAACCCTAGTCCCTTCTCTTATGGAATACATGGTCTATACAGATATTAATCATACAAGTAAGTATGTGATTATAAGTGGTATGAAGGAAAAGAG